TTGTTTGAGGATGATAAGCAATAACAATTCTATGATTTATATGATATTTCTTTATTAATTTCTCAATTACTGTATTTCTGAAATGACTTTTCTCGTCAGTTATGATTACTCTCGGCATCCTAAATCTACAAAATATATGCGTTCTTAAAAATTTTGCAACACTTTGAGTATACATCGAGGTAAAGAAACAGCTTCTATGCATTTGGATACATAATCTACTGCTAACAATATATATAAATTTCTGAAAGATGGTATAAATGATCCTATAAAATCTAATCCCCAAACATCAAATATCTCAACTTCTAACACATAATTAAGGGGCATCTCATTCCTCCTAGAAATATTGCATACTCATTGACATTAGTCACAATTTTTAATATAAGCATTAACATATCTAAAAATTGTAGGCCGATAAAATTTAGATTATAAGATTTTTTATGTTGTTTTATCAACACCAAAATGTCCGAGAAAAAAAAAATTGATGATATGAGTGCTCTTATCGTATTTTTGGATAATTTCATAAGAGTCTTTTAAAGGCACACATCTTCGAATTATAAGATCCTTTTCTTGTTTATATAAGAATGGGTCATCCTAAACATAAATCTTAGCTTCAGATACAAATTTCCTCTTCTATATATGTAGAAGTCACAATTTTTAATATAAGCATTAACATATCTAAAAATTGTAGGACAATAAGAGCCAGATTGTAAAATTTTGTATGTTGTAGATTTTTTATGTTGTTTTATCAACACCAAAATGTCCCCCAAAATCAAAATTATGATATTTTTGGATAATTTCATAAAAGTCTTTTAAAGGCACACATCTTCAAATTATAAGATCCTTTTCTTGTTTATATAAAAATGGGTCATCCTAAACATAAATCTTTGCTTCAGATACAAATTTCCTCTTCTATATATGTAGATCACCTAAAAAAACTTTGCACCCCCCAACTCTAGCTAAAGGGTATAAATGAGTCGGGTCAAGCTCTAAACATACCAAATAAATTGATTAATTAATCAAATTTGAGCTCCAGTTTGAGTTTAAATCGACAAGTTCATGCCTGTTTATTTACTAATATA